TGTGATATGTTTCAAGTAAATCTTATTTTTCTGTACGAGCTCTATTTAGTTTATTATACAATAACACGAACCTTATCTTCTACACGTCTGAAGTCGTCTGTATTTGATACATCGCTAATATAGCGAAACACCTCCCAGAGCAGGTGCGACGCCTCCGATGTTTTATTCTGCTAAAGTGCATTTCTGTTATGATTTTAAAGTACTGTTCAACCTTAAACGCAATCATACCTGTTTTATTTAACAGGGCCGGTCCTGCCATTGTTACAGCTCTTACTGATGACGTGTATGATCGCCTGGTACGGGATCCCGTGGGTGCAATATTCCTGCATCATTCCTCAACCACTCCAGTTGATAAACGACGTCTGACAGAGACATCGCTGTACGAAACGAAATCATTCCACATATTGGCTGCCATTCTCTGAAGTAAAAGATTATATCAATACGTCGACATTTTTTCTTGTGAAAATAGTGAAATATGCACCTGTGCTGATTTCTGTGACGAAAAACTGCTATCAGTTAAAGTCTCTGTAATGAAAGTGAACATTATGCACGGTCAAAATGACAATGCCTGATCTCAAAACAGGATAAAGAGGCTTTAGTATGGAGTTTCCATTTCTGTAATTTTTTAATACCTTATTACCATTTTTGGCAGGTATTAATTATGTTTCGGTGACCTGAAATGCAAATTTGAATGTTTAATGTTTTGATATTCCAAATTATGGATTAATTGATCAGTACGTGGCACGGTTAATCCATATAAATATACCAGGACAACATCAGGTCAGGAAGAAGGTCGAAGCTATGGACACTGTACTCAATTGTCATCTAAACGACCGAGGTGCCCCTTATCGAAATGAAACATCATATCTGTGTACAATTGTATATATATATGTTAAGCGAGTGGTGAAGGCATACGCGTCTTACTGCCTTGATCACTTGGACAACTCTCGGGTCGCAGGTTCGAGGTCTACGTGGGGCAGTCGCTAGGCACTTGCCTCGGATCGTTTGTTTTTCTCTATTCCCAAACCTTAAATGGCACTGGCTGTTAATAGGACATAAAACAACGATGAAGTAAATCTCCCACATATGGATTGGTAAATTCTGCATCCAAGTCAACCAGATTAATTAATAAAATGTAACTGATGTAAATTATATATTAGTCGTTGTAAGGTATGTAACAGGGCCTTACAGCGTCCATTACAAAGCACGAAACAAAATAAACCGAGAACACAGAAATGAAACGTCAAAATAATTTCGATAAGGCAAATACGTCTTGCACGGCAAGTGGATCCAGTCAGTTTTCTGTAGATCAAAAATTTTATTTTCATGATAAGAAATGCCAGGCACAATGACAAATATTTAATCCCAGTGGACTTGATCACTGATATATCATGCTGTCTTCATCTTCATTATATGATTAATATTTACATACTTCTAGGTTGTGGTCAGAATTAAGCATTGTTATATTACATTTCTATGCCATACAATTTGTAAATCCTGTTTAGTACAGTACCGGCATTACAACGTGGAAAAGTATTCGGTGATGGGTAAAACATTCCGTAAATCGTGCGAATGCCGTGTCAACACGTGTTCTATAGACCCTCACAGATAACAGGGTTTCCAATTCGGCATGAAATTAGTTTTAGAATGTTATTTCGCCTCTTCACTTTGAGAACCTTGACAAAAATAGATTTCATGCGGGTTATTACTTTTTTCTGATTTTGAGAAATTCTAAAATTGAAATTGAATCTTAACCACAGTAAAATTCTGTTTGAGAAACAGATTTGTTCTCTGATGAAAGGAGACTCTTTCCTTACAAACATTGTCTTTGCCAGCATGTTACATGATTTTGCTGTTTTTGATTATTGTTTTAAGTGTCGACGTCATCTTCAAAGATTGTTTCGGTGATTTAATAATATTTCAATTACTGACAGCGCCCCCTGGTGTTATATTTCCCCGCCTGTTGTGTTGTAGTCGTTACTAACAGGAAACTGATGGTTGGGTCTCTTACACATTGTGTTCGTTTCATATCTATATTTAAACGAATTATAGGCAGTAAACTTTAGCTGATAAGATTTCACCTATACCCAAACTATTTATTGCGCACGTTGTCATTTAAATTAATTTTAAAGCAATTCAGAATAATTCACATGAAATTCTTTGAAGTTTCTATTTTGTTAACCGCCAAAAGATTAACATGCCTGACAAGCTTTCCGCCCACAGCTTAACATATCATGAAACTCTTTCTTAAATGTATGGCACCCTGGGGACAAAAGGACAGCGAGAGTTAGTACACGAACTGCTCCATCGCCTCCGTACAGTATCCCTAGCGTCGGAGGACCAAGCCTCCGACTACAGGTAGGGCGATACCCGGAAGGTTAAATGAAACATGTTTATTTGTGAAGGAATCAACGATTTAGCATTACAATCAGGTATAATGATAAGTATATATTTCATTTTTAGGAGGTAATTTCCGGTGTGTACTTTAGAATATAAGATTACCTTACATTCTAAAAACTAAAAATATATATACTTTTTTTTAAAAAAAACCCAGGTTGACAAGTACAAGAATAAACTTTCGCATAGGTGGCCACTTCGCAATTTATGTGTGAAATGTGATGACTGTAAACTAGATCTGACTCCGTCATCAGAAAAATGATTTTAAATAAGAAAAAAAAAATCATTGGCTATATTCAAGTATAGCTGTCCAGAATGAGCACCCATGATGGTGATCTACAGTAAATTGGAAGGAAAGGAGAAAGAACAAGAGAAAGAATAAGAGAAAGACCATTATTACCAGAACGAAATCCTAGTTGAAATAGAGGTTACGGCATTCTATCAGTAAATGGAACCTAACAAGACGGCTATTTTAGTATATCATTTAGACAAGGAACACAATAAAAGCATCATTGAATGGTAATTATATAAATTGCATACAAGAACTCCGACACATCGTTTGTCACATAGAATAGAAGGTCAGCTGGTTTTGAATCCGACTAAATCGGATCATGAGAAACTCGGTATATCAGAACTGAAGCAATTCGAATCCATAGATATAATTGGTGATCACATGATCAAGTCACAATTTTTTTTTCACTGAAAATATTCGAGGTGACTGATGAAGAGAGACAAAAAAAAATCTGTCGGTCGATACACATATTTTAAGTGATATGGATACACTATAGCCGGCCACCCCTGACTAGCGATGAGGGAGTCCATAAACTCTCCCTTATCTATGACTAGATATCAAGAGAAGCGTAGCCGAATAGACTCTCCTGTATCAGTATAAACGTATTTAACATAGGATATATGTAGTATTTTTACTATACAATTGCTATTGGTGTTACAAATATTATTCCATTTAAGTGACCATACGGCTAATGCAGCCGCAACTCCCTGTCACCTTCATATATATTACAACAAATACACAAGACAATGTTCAAGACAAGTTTATATTTAGAATGATGCACCAGACGTCCAACAGCCAATATTACATCAGGTGACCAATGATGCTGGTATCACTATCACTACTGCGTCTCAGTGCAATTAGCAAATAACACATATTATGACATTATGACATTTGTTTGTGGGCAACTATTAGACGAAAGGTCGCACGTTCGGTCCAAAACGGTCATGAACAGTTATATATATTTCATCCTAGAACAATGCAATCAACCAAAATTGCTCAGCCAAGCAATTAAACAACGGTATTCTTGGGAAGAAATCTCCTGAAAACTTGAGTCCTCCCAGATAAGACTGATCGGCATCCTAATAGATAATTTCCATATTCTGTGCATCTCAGTAACGTGAGGCAATACTTCTTTTCAATAATAGGTGTGAGATATACCTGTATATCAAGGTTCCACATAAGATGTCAGCGTTGCCATGTACGATATCATAATACATGTTCCTTCTTTATGCAATGTCCATCCAGAACGAAGCTTTCAATGTTCCATCACATTACATGACAATGAAATTATATTCCTTATTAGGTCGATGATACGTCTAGCAATTCACATAGGTTTTTTTTATGTTTTCAGTCTTTTTTTTCATCAGAAGGAATTGAGGAATGGATGTAATGCTTCAATGTTGTAACGAAGACAAATGCAATTGCTAAGGATGTGGGCATGTAGAAAGTAAAAACACAGCACTTCGTGAAGACGCTTGTAAATTAGGCAGCGTACAATCGGATTCTGATCAAACCTTGCATTGCATCAGAAGCCCGTGGATGTTTGATGAGAGACGCATGCACATCTTACTTTTTTAATCTTGTATGATAACGATTTGTAAATGACCCATTAAGACAATCCTATAACCCACCGGATGTCTGAATCACGTATATAGTAAGATAAAACGAATGGCGAGGTCGTATTAATTTGGTTTCGAACATATACATTGAATCATATTCCAAATGTAGAACAAAAGTAATTTCGGTAATGCTAAAGGTAGCCTGAAAAGATTTGAAAAGTATATTAGTTCCAGTTAAAATCCTTTCCTGGAATCTGGTTTGTATCGAACGCTACCGGAACAACATTAGCATTTAAAGACACACAATTAATGCTCTAATGTCTTTTAAATGCCTTTCTTACAGATGACTGACAATAAAGGTCACGGTACATAGGAAACCTTTACAACAATAGTTTCCAGGAAAGGGAGACAATCGTGACAAGTATTTCTAGTGTACGCAACTCTTATATGAAGGATTTAGGAATTGTCTGGAATACGTTTATAACGTTGTAACAAATATATTCTGAAAAACCAATTATATTTCAGTCAGTCTCTCGTCAGCTTGACTGGATCCTGTCCAGGTTTCTACGTATATATCGATTAATACTCAGGTCACTATCCTCTCTCTGTACCAGTCATTGTCCCTTTTGATAAACTCTTCACTTTCCCACTTGCTGTACCACTGTACTTCATACTGTACCGGTCACAGTCCCTCTTCCTGTACTATGCCTTTTGCTGTACCAACCAATATGCATTTTGCTGTGTTAGGCACTATGCTTCTTGCTGTACCCGTTACTGTGCCTCATGCTGTACCCGTAACTGTGCCTCGTGCTGTACCTGTTACTGTTTGTCCTGCTGTACCCGTTACTGTGCCTCCTGCTGTACCCGTTACTGTTCTTCCTGCTGTACCCGTTACTGTGCCTCCTGCTGTACCAGTCACTGTGACTATTGCAGTACCAGTCACTGTAAATGTTGCAGTACCAGTCACTGTGACTATTGCTTTACCAGTCACTGTGCCTCTCGCTGTGTCTTTTGCTGTACCAGTCACTGTGTCTATTGCTTTACCAGTCACTTTGCCTATTGCTGTGTTAGTAACTGTTCTTCGTGCTGTACTTGTTGTTGTGTCCCCTGCTGTAAAAGTCATTGTTGCTCTTGATTTACCAGTAAACGTGCATCTTTATTTACCAGTCACTGTGCCTCTTGCTGTACCAGTCACTGTGCCTCTTGCTGTACAAGTCACTGTGCCTCTTGATGTACCAGTCACTGTGCCTCTTGTTGTACCAGTCACTGTGCCACTTGCTGTACCAGTCACTGTGCCACTCGCTGTACCATTCACTGTGCCACTTAATAAACAAGTCACTGTGCCACTTGCTGAACAAGTTACTGTACCACTCACTGTACCATTCACTGTGCCTCTTGCTGTACAAGTCACTGTGCCTCTTGATGTACCAGTCACTGTGCCTCTTGTTGTACAAGTCACTGTGCCACTTTCTGTACCAGTCACTGTGCCACTTGCTGTACCAGGCTTTATGTCTCTTGCTCTACTAGTTACTGTGCCACTTAAAATACCAGTCACTGTGCCTCGTGCTGTACCAGTCACTGTGCCACTCGCTGTACCATTCACTGTGCCACTTAATATACCAGGCACTGTGCCACTCGCTGTACCAGTCCCTGTGCCACTTGCTGTACAAGTTACTGTAATAATCGCTAATATATATTTGCTTTTTGCTCATTATAGTGTAGTCTTTATTAATCAACACCTAATTATGAAACTATTTTTGCCTGACGTGCTAATTCACTGTTATGTTCTATAAATATTGTCAAAACCTTGATATATCCAATGATGAAGCCTGACTGATTGTTACTAATTACAATCTTGTGTAAGCAGAGCGGTAATTGGGTGATCATTTCCATGGTGTTTTTTTATTGTCACATCAAAACTTCATGTTGTCACATGAATGTGCAACTCCGGGAAGATTTAACATCGAGCTAATGAAATAATATTTTAACGAATGGTTTCCAGAGTAATTGAATTTTGTGATAAACATTTCATCTGATTGGGTTTTTTTTCCACGTGCGATGATTTTTTCACTCCATTTCGGCAGAGGCTTGATAAAATGAGAAATCCTTAAACTTGTTATATATATGTCTCACACGAATAAAAGGAAATCACGTCAGAACCTTCATTTCTACAAGCACTTTATTGGAAGAAAATATCTTTTATATATCTACTTTTCTATAGCAATACTCCCCTTCTATTCTACAAGTATATTAAAACATACAGGTATATATACATTTTAGTACCTGGCATGTAGTAAAGGTATATTTAACGAGCCAATGATCTAACCTCGTGGTTCTTGCAGGATGATGAAATTTGAATCCGATCATACAACCCACTCCTTTGTGATTCATAACGAATCTCGTTTGATTAAAAACTCTCGCGGTGTTAACCTTGAGCGGTCCTACAACTGCGACCTGAAAGACCATTTGTCCATCTAGTCATTTGTGTGTAAATTGTGTCCACATCTCCCTGGTAACTGATAGTTCATTCAGTTTGAACTGAAAAATACCCTTTAAAAGAATGGAAAAGGTATTTCAAAAGTACAATAACACCGTTTTTATAGGCCAATTAATTGATTGAATTAATTCCATTTGGCCTAGTATTCATTAATACCCGACAAAACCACGTCTAGTCATGTTTACGAGGGAGGGATGAGACATGAAGACCTTCGTTTAAAGATTCCAATTTCAAAGATTCCACCTCATTTCATGGACGTTTTTAGGTAATCTCTTTCTTGATTAACCTGCCCGGTTTATCATCAATTCTAATTGATGTACATCACCTCTCCTTATCACCATGCATTACTACTCTCTCTCCCTAATATGTAGAAATAAACTTGCCCAGATCACAGAGAGGACAAGTCCAAGTTGGCACTACAGGGTATATCTAAGAAATGTCAATCTCCAATAGAATCGCTGTAGATGCCAGTGCCACAAAGAATTGAAGTGTTTTAATGACAGGCGTTTAAAACCCATGATCATTATTGGAGGAAATTGCAGCAATATAAAGTTCTGGAGCACTACTGCATATAATGGCCTGTTCAAATTGAAAGTAGCCGTTCGCAAATCGCTTTTTCTTAATATAATGCCAATACAAAAAGTCTTGTCTAGCCGGGTTTAACACAAAAAGCTACACAATTTCTTCAATTTCATCCTACCAGGAGAAAAAAACACGGACCTAAGGGAAATGATGGTGGCAATTCTACAACTTTTTATGGTGTGTCTTCGGCATTTACAACTACTGGGCTACGGGCTCTTCCGAGGACAAATTCAAATAATTGCAGCAAAATAACTCTTTAGAGCGATAATTAAACGGTTATTGTGTCGGGTTAGTTAAGATGAGGTTGACAAGAAGAGTCGTCACGTATTCGACGGGTCCGTCCATCTTTGGCCTTCGTTGGCATTAAGAACATTTTATGGTCCAATCTCCAGAAATCCGTGGTCCTGATTATTTTCGGAAACACTTTATCAATTATAGCAGCGTTGTGGCTTCACTGTTTCACTAGTGATGATATTACGTTCACATTTTAGTTCTAAAATGTTCAATCGTTTGAAATCAATCTGGTTTTCAGCCGAGTTTCTCCAATACAGTTAGCTTATTTTTTTTTTTTTTTTTTTTAAGTATATGTACATTATATATAGTAGCAGAATGTGGTTCGATCATTATTCTGGAAGATTTGTGTTCCATAGGATGCTGAGATCACAGAACACTAGGCTGTAGTGTTTTTTTCATAGACAGGACTCTTGCCCCAATGTTTCTGGATAGTCTGAGAAATACCTCCTGCTGTTACGTTCATTACTTTAAATACGTTTCTTGGTTAAAATTAACTTGAACAAATGATTGTGCACAAGTTGATTTAAATTGTTAAAGCTTTATCTCCTTATGAATTTACAATAGCATGATATCACCAATGAAACAAGCATTTAATGAAGTAGAGATTTCGTATTACAAATCTATCAAGACACAAGATCACGTCTTTCAAAATCTTAAGGTGGATTTGATGGAAGTTTTCCATGTGTCTTAACAACGCTAAGGTCCACAGAAAAAAGTAAACCACGGAAGAAAAGAAACAGTAATCACCTTTCCTGTCGAAAAGTCGACAAATTGATAGGCATTCTCACAGAAATGTCCCCAGATGTACACTTGATCTTCAGCCAACTTCTTTATTGTTTTACAATGTTGGTGGTAATTGCTGTACATTTAATATAAGAGAAAATAAAGTTACGAAAGGCGACCCTGTTCAGTGAGTTAGTCACCAACTCATACAAGGTGAAAAATGCCCTGAACAATAAACCAAGTAAAAAAAAAACAAAAAACAAAAAAAATAAAAAAGAAAAAGAAAATCCTTCAGTGATTCATTTCTTCATTTCTTTATTTTCTCGCCTTTGCCCCTGGAGGACCTTCTGATATATACATAGCCAGAATCTTCAACCAAATAAGTGTACAAAGGCGGAACCTTCAAAATCATACACATATATGGACCTGCAACCACATACATGTCCAGTGCCTTCAACAATGTCCATAGCAGGAACATTAAAAGTCACTTAAATAGGAGGAACATTTAATTACATTTATAGCTTCTCTATTTAATTGACCTAAGAGGAACCTGCTTGTGAACGATCTACCAATTGTACATATATGATTGAGAACATATAAACCCTATCTAAACAGTCAGAACCCTTCAGAACTACTATAATACACAACCAAAATCCATGATTGTTCAAATAACTATAACCTTTAAAACTAATCTCCTACTTCCTACAACTATATAATGTTTATAGTCAGCCGCTGACCATAACACTAATTTAACTACGTTGATTTGATATGATGGTCCTATGGAGTAAGAACTATTTCAATTTACATGAAATTATTATTTAATAACCAAGCAGATGAAAAAGCTAGTATAAAGAATTCTGTGTTACACATCTCCCTATGGTCATATGCATGTTGTGAGTGACAAGTTACTGTACGTTTGTCTCCCCTGCCGACTGTCATATTCATTTTAGATCAGAGATGATGGTCGCAATGTGAACGTTAAGCTGTTAACATAACATATCGACTTTTGATTTTGTAAAGAAGAATAAGATGGAGCGCAGTGATTTATGTTCGATGTTTCCTATTTCTAAAGCAGTTCTGACACATTAATGCACCATACTAACAATAACAATTAATGTCAAAACATATTTTTATACGAAGTCTCTGTAGAAATCTTAGATTTAATTAATTCCGATCAATGGTTCCCTTAAGTTGGAGTAATGTGAATTCCTACCGAGTTTGAGGCTTTGAAATATAAATTCTTAAGTCAGTAACTTTAAATAAGATATCTTTTGTATTAATTTATATGAAGACTTGATTATGATACAGTATATATACATGAAGGCTCACATATTTCCAATAAATTTATTTGGAAGCAGTTTTGAATGTTTCAATGATCGATATTTGCAAAGGTGTATACTCCTGATAAAATGAGCGTTGGTGAGGCATATATATCACACACAAACGACCATTCCATTAGCAAATAGGCGTTATATGAACTTTGCTCAAGAATGTGATTCACATAAGAACGAGACAAGAACAAAATCATATCCAGAGCATGAAGACATGTGGATACATTGATTGGACAATCCAGAAAGCGAAAAATAATACAAATTGAAAGGACAGGCAGTTATCCCTCATATAAAAGGTATGTCAGAAACCATTCAGAGGAGTTACCGTGGTCATGGTATTACAACAGTTACAAAACCTCACAATTCAGATTCTCCAAAATATTCTAGTTTATCATAAAAACATCCAAAAAGGACGTCGCTGAATGTGTATACAAGACCGAATGCAATGCAAATCGGAAAAACGGGCAGGAGATTATGTTATACAAGCGTCATCTATTTTCTACCTTTGTGTACACAAGGCTATGTCGATTCTGTACCATCTCTTACTCTCTACAATGGCAGTGTACACTAGTCGTCGGATGTAGTTGACAGTGTTGTCAGTGACACGTAAATCTTCTATTGGTAGTGTTGTAAGAACTTCTCTTCTATATTTCATATCAAATGTCATATATCTAATTTGCTTACCCTGTCTTTTTGTAATTTTGGTCTGAACATGGTTGACTTGACTTGCTCATTAGCCACGGTTAGGAAGGGAATTTGTGCCATCTTAATTGACCATCATAAAAATGAAAGGATACATATAATATGCTATCCCATCCGGTTACATTTATAACGACAATAGGTTAACTTGTCTGAAAGCTGAACGTGAAACAGAAATCAGTAGGTTTATGTACCAATCTGTCAGGGGAAAATACCCACATAATTTCCCTTACTTAAAGGGCACTCGATGTAAGAAATAACCAAGTGTTAGTTAGAAAAAAATTAAGAAGAAGTGATCATTCATCGCCTAGTTAAATTACGTACACATTTTGCTATAATACGATCCAATAGAAGACCATTTCCGTCATGTTCCTTTATTCTGTTTCGTGATACGTTTACATCAGGTGGTTTCTTTTCCAAAAGACAGACGAGGTTATCAGAGACCTTTATACTGGGGGTGTAGGGCACAATGTAACTAGACAACCGCATAGCAATCATCTGAAGGGCAAAATTTTACAAAGGAAGGGTCAGCGAAGACGACCATATCCGAATATTTCCCGAGGGCATTGTGCCAGGGCAGGAGAGATGTATTGACGGCGCTAGTAAGATACGTGGAAGAAATAAGAAATATGTCTGTGTAAACACCGCCACCGTGAGACAGATCAATTTGTCTGGGATGATTGACGAGATCAGTGTCGACCTAATATGCACTTCATAAACATCCAATAATGAAGTAAGCCATGGTTAATGTGTGTTTGATCTGATCATTCAGTCTACCAATGACCAGAAGAAAATGTCCAACAAAATAGCAGGAGTCATTGTCAAGCAAGACATTTCCGCCAATTGTACAGTACACAATTTTTACGGGGGACGACGAAAATTTAAAGAGGCTACATATTTGTTGGAACTGGAATTCATTGCTAAGTAACATATCTGTGATATCTGTGTGCTAAAACAATATTGATATCAATTTCACATTAAAACTACAACAAGGTTTTGTTTTTTAAATGTACTGTTGTCAGAGTAATACGACTAAATAATTCCTTATAATTAAGGTACAATGCATGATTTCAATTTAGTATTTTGCTTTATTAATTGTAAATTTAGCCGTGATACTTTCTGAATCGTATATGCCAATACACCTAACATTGGAAATATTGATCGTTGTAAATGAAGAACGCAAAAGTGGCTATAGGAGACATCAGAATAGATCCGACTGAGAGTACCAAACATCGGTCATCCTTTACATGAAACATATCACTCAATGATTAAATACATTTCCAACCTTCCGTAGCTTCATCAGTTACTCACAATCCTAAACAGATTTCTCGGAATGGAGTCTCAGAAACATATACATATCTCTATAGAGACCGGTCGATAGCACTGAAGCCAGCAAGGAAGGAATCATTTGATAGACTAAACCCTTTTGTTGGTAAATTAAGAGCTTTTGACAACCAATTCTCACTTTATATTCTCCATTGCGAAGTTGAATTACGTGTTAACGCTTCAACAGTTTCTTGAGAGGCTGTTGCTTCAAGTTGCTGAAAAGACGAAACAGAATTCGTATTGCGACAGAAATTCCCCCCAATGAATCCATTAAGTCCAACCTTCGTGTGAAAAGGTTCGAGGGTAGGGTCGTCGTGTGATCCACGTGCTATAAGCGTTTGAGAGATTGAATTCGTGCATCGACTACAAACGTTTCATCTGCCATCAATTCATGGTACAACTGCGACAAAGATAAGAGTAGCATTTTGCATATTTGTTTTTCAGTGATACAATCTAGAAGATAATAACATAGGTTGAAATAGGTTGAGAATTGTACTCTACGCGTGCTCTGTTACTTGCATTAGATTTTACGATGTTTCCCGATGACATCAAAGAATCGAGTTTCGAAGCATTACCGGTGAATCGTCTACCTTCTGTTTATCGATGACTTCTTTCACATATTAACTTCAGTCTGTGACTATTTCAACTGTAATTGGACATTTTCACGCAACATTTACAGACAAAAGTCTGCATATAAAATCAGAATCACGAAGGTAGTCACGTGCATAATATCTCAATCCTAATTGATGTTGTCACGTGTGCGGAAATGAAGGTGAGCTTCTCATCCGGACATATTGACAATGCGCTTATGTAACGAGGGCTTATGAACAAATTGTGGAATATCATTTCCTGACTCACCAGATGAAAACAAAAACCAGAAAAACCCCAAAAAACCAAATCCGCGAATGAAACTTATTTTGCTTTCTAGAGTAAGTCACGGTATTTGCTTGACAATGCTAGTTAGTCATCAAGGTGAACTAGTGCACGTGTGCGCGTGAGATGTTATCATATGATGGCATCATTGACTGTAATTGGACGGATGGATGAGCAGAGCCTGAACAGGTGACTTTATAATGTTGTCAGTGAGATGGCGCATTCTATTATCAACCTATTATCTATACCACGAATAAGACATTTTACATTTTTTATTTATTAGCTCTCTCTCTCTTTGCAGATTTAAGCTATGATCATGAAATTTTATCAGATTCAAGTACAATGCCCTCCTGAAGTTGGTTCCCTCTTCATAGTCCCTGGTTCTGTTTAAGAAAAAAAGGGATTGAGAACCAGATCTTAGTTCCATTATATGTTGACAAAACAAAAGTTCCAATAAACATACTATAATTTTAATTCAGTACAGGAATCGAACCCACAACCTTTCATATAAAAATTAACTAGGGTCTGATTCCCAGTTTCGTTCAGAAATTATTCGCTACCTTTTAAAACAGTCTTTGCTATCATCAGTACATAAGTAATTAATATTTTACCTTAATGACTCACTGCGATAATTATAGCCTTCGTGCCTTGATATTTTTGTATCCATTTTTAATCAGCAGTGATGGCTGGCAATCAATGGGCTGCTATACACATAAATACGTCGTCGCTGGAATGACTTATTCATAGAATCGATACCTCGTATATCTTTATAAAACATCATACGTTTCAATTTACCTTTATTGTTTTTGTGTGACACAGGTGTACTTCATTAAAGTATCGATGCACTCTGATCGAATGAGATTGACAACCTCTTGCCGACAGACCTATATTATTTTACTTACCTACTGATGGACAAAGCTAAATTGGAAACGATACGTTGTATCATGTCTTCTCTGATTAAAGAAGGTCCAATCATATCAATCACAATTACAACTGTCTAGTAGAAAGTCTGTGATTATTGTTACTTCAACGGAAAGAAAACGCTACCAATGAAAGTTGCTCAAAATATCATTGCTCAATTTGAAAGAATAAAATATAGAAACGCACTCATACTTTCCGATACTTTTCATCATCTAGTTCAAAAACGTAACACATGATTAAACATTATTTCTTTGTTTAGTTCTGACTGAATGAAAAGGAAACGGTATTTAGATTCTAGGCCCCCGAGGCTATACATGTATCGTGAGGTCGTTTACCGTATAGTGATCCTGTAACAAAGTTGTGGGGTTGTGTCTCAGTAGAATTTGTAGATTGATAGTCTAGTTTTTGAGTGGAAAATATTCAATATTCTACTTTTGCAGTTTTATGAATCCATTCCTGAATATTTCATGCAATTCTGATTTCGTGATCCTCTCAAAGGAACGCCTCAGCCAGCGAAACAACATACACATTTGTACATTTTGTCGAGTATGCGGTTTTCATACTATGATAGATATGTCTTCTGCTCTCTCTGTAAGATTTCAACTGAATATTGATATAAATGACATCCGTTACAACTTGTTCCCGTTGTCCCAGTACCAGTAATGGGGGGAAATTCGCAAGGGGAATAACTCTGTATGTCGTCAAAATTGCAGTGCGACAGAACACGAAAATACATACTTAAAAGCTCTTCTGTTACTATCGTGCAGTCGTGTCCAGTCGACACATTCTCATCGCTAAGGGGCATCTCGTTCCCATAGAAACGAAACACATCTACATAGTACCACGGGAGTAGTTGTTTCTTTGTAGAAACGTCTGTCGCTTGGGAGTTTGAAATACAAATGAGAAATAATGGCATTTCAGATTGTTTTCAAAGAATAATGGTTATTTCCCAGACATTTAAATATCACGCTTGCGCTGTGTCATTTACTTAAATAAGAGCCTGCATCTTTACCCATTCTTATCAATCAGCAGTGGTAGATTTTAGAGACGATAAAGACGTCGTTAAATGCTGTGTGTTTGTTGTGTGAATGAAGATATGATCATGGTCACACAGATGTTTGATTTAAAGGGACAACAGATATCTTCATCACTATGGGAAAATGGTAGGTAGACCGATACACATCTATTCGTAAAGATACATTGAATTGATCCAACACTGAACGAGTAAATCACTGAACGTTTCCTGGATGATGCTATCTTAAAACTATGACAAATACTAGATCTTGCTGAAGCGTTACTTAATTAAGGAAAGTTTCACATCTTTGAACTGTTTTAATTACACTTCAGGCTTACAAGCAACTCCAGAAGTGTTGACCATGTAACGTTATTATTTTGTTTTTTGCTCTTTGTTGACGCTAATATTTGTTTTTTAATGTTGACTTGTGAAGAAAGTTCCTGGTCGTTGTACATGTGTATATTGTTTTCTAAACTGATACTGTTGTACCTATTGTTTTCGGCCACAAGCTTGAACAAGTGTGTTTTTTTTTTCAATTGAAAATAACAGTTATCAGATTCCAATCAGTCAAGTCGCCTGTAAATCAATGCATCACCATTTTGTTGACACCATTGCTTGTCGGTTTGAAAAAGTCAGTATTGCAAAACTTCTGCACAATCTTGCTCAAAATATAAACTCTCTAAGCATAAAGTTTAAAATCGACTGTTAACTTCTATTTTTCTATCTCTATTTCGTTAATTCATTCATAAAAAACAAATTGAGTTTTTATATTCAAACGAATTTCTTTTTAATACGGAAACACAATTTGTGGAAACAACATTCTAGACAGAGGCATTTTTGAGTTTGTAGAACAAATGATACAAATGATATCGTATGACGTGCATGAATAACAATGTGTAGGTATTCAGCAAATAAAGGCATAATTCAGATAGAACCGGCGAACTGAAAATACATGTAGCAAGAACGATGTGACCAGTTACGACTAAAGGGTTCGAAGCTTAGCTGGGACATTTATCTTTACATACTCTCTCTCTGACCTCTCTCTCTCCTTACTTTTTGCCTGTTAACTTGTAATGATTAAATAAGTATCTGTATCATAATCATATTAATATATCGACAATACAGTTAAAGTTTTAAGTACATAGTGATAAAGTCAGCTGATACAAGGCGTATTGACCGAAATATGCGCTGTTAAAACTCCATTCCAAGTCTTTTGATCGAAGACTTTCGGCTATATTGTCGTATTGAAAAGCTTTTAAAGTTTCACTATTGAAAACTCTTATCGGCTACTTTTTCCTAAAGTGGAAAGCTACATATCTAAGAAGTGGAACACGCAGTAGGTATTTAAACAAGGTACCGCGGTTTATATATCAAAAACACCAGACACCTATCGGCTATTTTTCCTTACGAAGCAAGTTACATACAAAATTATTTACAGGTTAACAAATAACATAACAACGTCGCAGCTGGATAGGTACTCCGAAAATAAATCGCCCTTTTCTGTTCTAAGGTGTGTTTTGTTAACAATATCAGTTGACGTGTAGTGCAATACCACTAATTTCCATGCAAATAAGACAATTTTTAGAAATATGAGGAAACATTATCATTTATCAACAATAAGTATAATGAAAGAATTTACTATCTTCAATAAATCCATATGGAAATAAGATTATCATAAAATCTCCTTTAAGTACTTAATGCTAATCGAATGATTAAATGATACCTTAGAAGTTGAATATCATTATGTGTTGAAGACGTGGTTATTTTTTCTTTTACAAAAGTATTGTCTTGTT